TCTATTACATTATTTTTAATTTATGTTTAAATACGTTATATGCAATACGTCATTTTTGATTTAATGTTTCCTGGCATATTGTTTATTACATTATTTTCGAGTTATATTTTAATACGTTATATACGTAATACATTATTTTTAATTTAATGTATCTAATACACTGTTTACAACATTATTTTTAATTTATGTTTTAGTACATTGTTTGATATACAATTTTCAATTTGATAGGTTTTAATACATTAGTTGGCATACGATTTTAAATTTATAATATAATTTATAATATAATATAATTTAATTTATAATATATATAATATAATAATACATTCCTTAATGTCATTGTTGATCGAATATGCCACGCATAAATTGGTAAAATTTCGTAAAGCATAAACGAAGAGTTTACGAAGGCTGGCGCACAGTAAATTTTCTAATTAATTGTTGGTTCTCGTTGGGCTCGCGAACGGAAAGGCGTTGATTCGCAGGAAAACCGTGAACTTTACTATCAAAGCATGAACCGCGGAGATTCCTGTGTCATTCCCGGGAAACACACTATTCCCTCCAGCCGTCTAATTATTATAATTAATTACAGCCTCCCAACCGGCGTGCCTCGTGACGCATAAATCTCGATTCACGCGTGCGGTGGGGAGAGGTGTCAACAAATTATCGCGAGTATTCCCTCCGTATTCTACGATTAATCAGTAGAGGCATGAATCACACCGATAGTAATTGATTTATCGGTCAGCGCGCGTTTCTCAGTCCTCTTTGGCGATTACGTCTCTCTCTCTCTCTCTCTCTCTCTCTCTCTCTCTCTCTCTCTCTCTCTCTCTCTACTCGAGCGTTAAATACTTATTCGATGGAGACTTTTCATTTTCGAGACAAGGAAATCGATTTTTTTGGGATTTGTCTTTTATTCTTGTACCATTCGGAATAACATTGTTTTAGCATTAACGGAACTGTAACAATTGTGATAATAATTACAAGTAATAACTGTGTAATTTCTATTGGAGTTTAATTGTTTTTGTAATTATGGTTTTCATTATATCGTGGACGATATTTATGAAAATTTAGAGATGTCAACAATAGACAGTCTGCTACTAGCTATTGTTATCGTTATGTTGTTAAATTAATTTTTTACATTTTATTTAAAGCGATCGAGCGTGTGTTGAGAAGCATAGAGAAGATTGAACGCTTTTATGAAAACTTCCCTCAATTTTACTAAGAAATTTTAATAACAAATTGTTCAAGGAAAATTTCACACATAGTTGTTATCAAGGTGCTTATAATCTCACTTTTTCTAAAATTTTCAGATTAACTTCCAGTAAAAAATAGAAAACATTAAACGAACCGAGAGGATGCAAAATTGAGGATGCAGAAATTAAAAACATGAAACTTTTTCTACATAATAATATCCAAAAATTCTGAAAAAATGTTAACACTTCCTATTTTTCGATTTAGTAAAAAGTCGAATTTTCGATTTAGTAAAAAGTCGAAAACATTAAGCGACTCGAGGGGATGAAGATCTGGATCGAGGATGCAGACATTAAAAACATGAAACTTTTACTATATAATAATATCCAAAAATTTTGAAAAAATGTTGACACTATCTACACAACAAGATACATATTAGATAATTTTCTCAGACTTCTTAATCAAAAACAGTTTCAGCAAAAAACCGAAAACTTCAAGCGACTCGAGGGGATGGAAATCCGAACATCGAGAATCTACAAGACGAAACCATGAAATTTCTTCTGCATAGAGAAATCCAAAAATTCTGAAAAAATCTTGACACTTCCTACGTACCGAGACACGTATCAGATAATGTTCTCCGATTTTACGATTAACCACCGTCGCAGCGAAAAATGAGAAACACCGGCGAATTTGTAAGAAAGTAAAGGATCACTAACCTGAAGGTAAAACATGTTCGCAGTCCAGCCAGAGTCCCAGAAACGAAACTCGCGCACCGTTTCTTTTTTCGGCGAGTGCACTGCGTGAAAACAGAGAATCAGAAATTCGATGGTGCGTTTGAAAACCGCAAGGGCGAGGGAGGGGCTCGAGACACAGTAATTTCTCCCTAATTCGCGCTCGGAATGCGCACGAAAATGGACAATTTGGGAAGAGGAGGTACACGATTGTTCGAGCTTTGCTTCGAATAGCATTGCTTTTTGAATAATCGTATCTCCTATTCCCAAATTGTCCATTTTCGTGCGCAATCCGAGCGCGAATTCGGGAGAAATTACTGCATTCGCGCGGAGGGTTGGGGAGGGAATTCCGTTCGATAGATCACCGCGGACCGGTTGGAAGATCCGCGGTGTTCTTTGCGACACAGAGGGTTGAATAGACCTCGACGACATTTCACGGCTAACCACACCCTGGCTGCGGCGCGATTGTTCATCGAATTGCATGCATGCGCACCACTCCCAGCTGGGAATCACGGAACTTCGTTCGTTCCCTGAATCCCTCGACGGTGTGCACATCTTCTGCGACTCGCTCGACTGACCGTTCACTCCGCAACGATCCGTCCCACCAATTTTCATAATGCTCGCGTTCGGGTTTACATAAGCGAGCAGATGATCCGTGCCGCTGAGGCCGGTCGAACCGTCCCGTTACGGCGGCAATCATTATTTCGGCTAAGTATAGTCGTCTCGATAATCGAGGAGATCGTCGGCCAGGAATTTACGGGCTTGTAATGCCGGTGTTGTTACAACCGGTAGACAAGCCATTCCCTCGTGATTTAGCGGCGATTATGCTTCTATTTTCTGAGGGAGGACGCGAGAATCAATTTCCGTTTTTATAGCGCTTTAAATGGCCGAGTTGGATTCGATCATTCAGCGGCTACCTTTTTTAATATAATTATTCGACTGCGGATCTTTATGCGAAATAAACAGCAATTAGAAATAAATTGGTTTCTTTTTTATTATTTTGATTAGTTGCAAATAGGGCGACAGCGTTATTTAATTCTTCGTGTGTCTTCACAATTTTATATTCCAGCTACGTATTCTTGCTATAAATTCATAAAATCCGCGATCTAGTAATTATGGTTTTATATAGGATTTATGGTTGTTCGGTTACTTGTTTGATAACGTGTTCTATCGAGTAGCTTTTAAAGAACTTTTACTAGTGGAATTCTAACTTTTGATTAAGATGGCTACTTAACATCAAACTCCATATGCAAGTACTTCATACTAACACAGGGATATGCTGCTTAAAATTTTCCCAATTTTCCAATTAAATCCAGGAAAATATTTCGATGACCGTTTTGCAAGCATTTAAAATTGAAGGACCTTTGCAAATATACTCGTAACTTGTAAACAAAAACTTATTTCAGCTGAAATTTACCAGAAGGATATTTTAAATTATCATGTGTCAAAGTAGTTGACAAATAAAAAAATTGTATCCATTTAAGAAAAAATTTGTTTGTGCTGAAATTTGCCACAAAGATACTCCAAACAACCCTGTCAACCTAGTTAAAAAATAAACAATTTTTGTCAACTAATTGCACTGTAAACAAAATTTGAAATAGTTTTAATTTGACGATCATCACAAAGCAGAGTAAAGAACTAGTATTTTTACAAATTTTCTTTTAACTTTAGAAAAATAAGCACTTCGTAGCTTGAAGAGTGCTTCAAGCTATCTCGTTAATATAGTTAAAAAAAAATAAAAAGATTTTGTACAGGCATCGCACGATATAAAAGTCCAAAAAATTTGAAATTTATAATTTCAAATGTCGCATAGTCTAGCTACGTAAATCGAACAAAGGACTTCCAAGAAAAATGTTTTTGTTCTCAAGAAAAATTTGTTTAAAATGAAACTTCCAAAAATCGGCCTTTTCCGAGGGACCTGCATACGTCTACACCATCCTCTGTGCCAATTGAAAAAGGCACACTGTCCAGGTCAATTAATTCCAACTACCTCTCCGTAGGGATCGACATCTAACCAAAGTCCACGAAATCTCCAGGAGTCACAGAAGAGTACCGTCGTCCTCCACAACAAAAATCACTTGATCAAGAAGAAAGAATGAAGAGTAAAAAAAAAAGAAGAAGACTGATACATCGGTCGCACAGAGAACGAGGATTGCACCGCGAGTTTAGCACCAGGGGTTGGTTGGCCGGCCTCGGTCGCCTAAGTCCCGTACTACGGGGTTCTCTCCCGGCGGTTATGGGGGTCGTGGCTTACGTCGAATGCACGGATAAACGGGGTCAGATGGGGGGCACGTGTCCCGTCGGTTACAAATATCGTTACACTCCGGCACGGCTGTGAATAAAGTCGGTACGTAACTGCTCGGCATGCTGGCAGGTTGGGTTTATATAGCGTGGCTCTAATAAGATGATACCTGAACGCGTTGGGACCGGGGGCCCCTCTGTACGGAAAAGGAGGGAGGTTGGATGATGCGCGTTGCCTTGTTTCGCATTACCTTGCCTCACCTTGCCTTAGAACCTTGCTGGGACCGACCTGCACGTGGCCAGTACTATCTCTTGCCCATCGGATCGGGCCCATTTGCGCCGGGACTTCGTCGTTCTATTGCTACGAATCAGAAATGAACTTTTAATCGGGACACTATTTCACCAGATTTTTTATTTACTTTTGGGACCGAGAATTTTCCTTTCATTGCTACAACACGTTTTCCTTAAATATGAATTTGTAATGGGCCCACTATATTTAGTCAGATTTTTATTTCATCGTTAGGTCCATTGTTGGGGCAATAGAATGGAATTTTTGTTAAATATTAATTTTTATTAAGTATTCTATTTATCCGTTCATTTTTGGGACCATACGTTTGCGCTGGTACTTGTCCTTTTAATGCAACGATAATTAAATACTCATTTTTAATGGGGACTCTGTTCAAAGTTTAAATTCATTCTTGGAACCGTGCATTGATATTGGGACATGCCCTCTCGTTGCTACGAAATTTTCGTTCACATTGAATTTTTAATGGGCCCACTATTTACGCAAATGTTTAATTCATTTTTGTTCTTATTCAGCGTTTGTTCTTATTCTTTCAGTACAATGAAATTTTCATTTAAAATGAATTTTTAAGGTGCGCACTGTTTTATGCAAATTTAAAATTTTATATTTGGGACCATGCATTTATATTGGGTCTCTTGCACTTTTCAGTCAAAATCAATTCTTCACAAGAACACTTTTTTGGATGCAGGCAGATTATTATACAAAAATAAGAATACATTATTTATTCGTGTACAATTTTAATGCTATTATTTTTATGTAAACAGAATTCGAATATACAGTGTGGTCCAATAAAAAGGTAGACATACTCAAGGAATTATTATTTTTTTTAAATTATTCGCACCCTTAAAATTCTTTTTGCATATTAGTCCTGTATCCATGTCTGAAAAATAATGTTTCACGCTATAAAAATCATTTGTCTTAGCTTTTTTTGCGTCCTAAAAATCATTCGTCCTAAAACCAATCATTTCTTCGCCTTCCGAAGAAACAATTTCTCCCCCCGAAAAAATATCTTTACAGCTTATTATACTTGAAAGTTACTGTTCTTCTTTCCCCAGGCAGAAAAGTGATAGATCGTCTCGAAAACAAGACTCTATTGTCACATTAAATGACGTCATCCTACGACGATGGCTGTCAGTCGAATCCCGCTGGAAGACGTACTTAGTTTTACGTCATCGGCTGCGAATGTGTTAATCGAGTAAGTAGACGAAGCGCATTATGATCCGAGATCGATTCAGAAAACGAGTGGGAAGTCGGCGATAGTAATTGAACAGTATTATGGAGGCGACGCGTGACGGTCGTCGCATGGGAAGTCAATCGTATTGAATACGAAAGTATTACGAACGAAGAAGATTTTGCAAAGATCTCTCGTCGCGTCGACGAAGCTGACGTTAAACGAAAACCCACTGATCGATAAATGCTTCAATCGTTAGATTTCAGCGCTTCGTGATTTTTTATTATTATTAAGATATCAGCGAAACTCGAAGATGCTTAGATTTTTACGTATTGTTTTATCGGAGTGTGCATTTACGTTTTCGGGGTGATGTCGAAAGGCACGAATGTGAAACGCGAAACGACGAGATCTTTCTGAAACGAGAGTAGAACATCCGACAACGCGGGATGGCATAAGGTTATGGAGAACAAAAGGCAGTTGTTATTAAATCAGGATAATATACATATTTTAATTGTTTATCACCGTTGGATCGTGGCGCGCGATCCTTTCGGGCTCCGCGATAATTAAAGCACTTGTATTTGCTCACTCCGTTTCGTAATTGCGATAACAATTACTCGTTTGTACTGCTTACGCGCTGAACCTTGTATTCGTTCGTTTTTCTTTTTTTTCTTTGGCGTGAGATCATTTTCACAGCTTCCAGAACAGTGCGAAACGATCTTCCTAAAACATTATCCTCGTTTAATTGAATTGAATTTGTTCGTTTATCGTACGCGTTCGTCGAGTGACATTTTCATTTGTATTTCTTTGCATTGTTTATTCATCGTATCTTTACAGATGGTAAACAACTTATTGATTGTTATCATTGTTCTTTTACAATCTTTTAGTTGATAAATAATTTAATAGTTACTGTAGTTGCTTATTTACAGTTCTTATTTAGTTAACAAATAATTTTAGCAATTGTTTATACATATAATACTCTCATAGTTAGTAAACAATTTAGCAGTTATTATCCTTGCTTGCTTGCAAAGTATGCCTTACAATTAGCAAACAATTTAGCAATTAATGCCATTACTTATTTGTAGTCACTTTACCGGTGAGTAAACAATTTAGTAATTATTATCGTCGCTTATTTACAATATCTTTGTACATAGTATACAATTTAGCAGTTAATATTATCGTTCATTTACCTTTCCTCTTTAGTCGGTAAATAATTTAACGATTACTATTGTTGGTTATTTATAATATGCTTATAGTTAGGAAACAATTCTAACGAATAATTGTTTATTTACAAAAATTGTATAATCAGTAAACAATTTGACAATTCTTATCATTGATTATTTAGAGTACCTTAAACAATTTAATTATTAATACTATAAACAGTATATATATATATATACAACACATAAGATATAAATCTGTTTGGTCCAGGTTTCTACGAATTCTCTGTCGTGAACATCGATTTTCGCTGAAAAATCCTCTTTGAATATCAGCTCTCGTTGATTTTTCCCGCGGGAACCGGAATGAATCGGGAAACCCAGAAAATAAGGGTAGAAAGGCAATTCGCCCGAAAGGAGTCACGTGCCTAAACGCGTCAACGATCTATTGGGATCCCGAACGACGGCTCGAGAACACCTATGAAATATCAAATTCTTTCTGATACGATGCACGATAATCGATGGAATGACTTCTTCATGCTGCACCTTCGAGGCTAGAAGTCAGCGCTCCGGCTCGAAAGATCATTTGGATCGCATTGATCCGGATTATAGGCCTTCCCACGATGCAACCGAAAGCAACAAAAGCCGATTATTTGTCATGTTCTAACCATAACCATTTCTTTCTCCCCCCCTCTCTCTCTCTCTCTCTCTCTCTTTCTTTCTTTCTTTCTCTCTCAACTTGAAACGATTTTTCCACAGGTCAGTGGTTGGAAATTATCTTTTAAAAGGAATTGCCACCACACGATTTGTTCTAGCCGCAGTTGCACACACAGTCTTCACTGGTTTGCAGGCGCGATTTCTATTCCTGGTTTCCCTCGATCACTCCTTATGGGAACATCGCATAGTTGCAGCGTTAATGTTCGTGTTTGCCTCTCTCTCTCTCTCTCTCTCTGCTTATATGTTTTTTTTCTCTTTTTTTGTCTACGAGGATCATTTCCGAGTGCTGATGAAGTTTTCGAATTCGATTTACCGGCATGGGAAACCGTTAGCGAATTGTTAATTGCATATACACACATCCTTTAACAGATGCGCTTCTCGATTATGGGAATAACTGAAATGGCATACTGCAGAGATGATTCTCAGCTGTAATTAAAAATGTTCGGGACGTTGAGGAGGCTCGGCTGCTACGGGAAGTAGGAATGCTGCAATATGTTTTTTTGCACGCTCTCCTCTCTCTCTCTCTCTCTCTCTCTTCTCCCTCTAAGTAGTAATTTATTACTTTCGAAGTCTTCATATTATTAATCTTTCTGTGATATATCAATTCTTATTTAATTTTCTATTTTGGTATAATTGTTTTTAATGGTTCCTTGTTTTAGGAAAAACGGGATTAAATAATTTCAAACGGCAACGGGTTTCGATCTTGGGTCCTCGACGTTCGTTACTGCTCACGCTATGACCACAGCTACGTAACCCTATCACTGTTTCTGTGAATTTCTGGTACATATCATACACGTCTTTAATTATTTCAAAAGAATAATAATTTAAAATTATATTTTATATAAGTGTAACAGTTGTACATTTATATACGATAATTTAAAGGAGGGAATAATAATTAAAAATTTTCTTTCTCTCAGTGCAATCATTAGACCGTAAATTCTTATGCAAACTAAAAATAATCTCCGTCAACTGTAAGAAACAGATTATATTTAACTTTTATATATATTTAATTTATATATATTTAACTTTTATATTTAACTTAACTTAACTTAACTATAATTTGAACAAGTTAAAAATAGTCCATTGATGATCCTCTATGTTTTGAATTTGCACGCGGTTTTAAATTGCTCCTACTCATTTTTGGTATAAATGCATAAACATCCGCAGTCTAGTAATCATTATACAATAATTATGAAAAATGAACATTCGGACCAATAATTTAAACAATGTGTCAAACTATACACCTGTATATGTTAAAATAAAAAAATAATTTATTTCAAACTATGAAAATGATATCTACAAAATATATATAATTACACATTTGTTTTTATATCTTAAAAATCAAAAACTACAGGTCCGAATAAATATGTTACAATTCAGTTTTCCGGGAGGAATGGAGGCACAATTTTTAGGAAGGACAATTATCAAGGTGTTGGGTATAGATAATAAAGGTGAAACTGTTCAGCTATATATATATATATATATATATATATAGTATTGGGTTGGCAACTAAGTAATTGCCGATTTCAGTTATAGATATCTCTCACTCCCATTTTTATGATATCCGTAAATGTTATATTATAAAATTATTATTATTATTATTGTTATTATGTTATTTTTTATTATCCGTGAATGTTAGCAACTGGACAAATTGAATGCAGCGGTCAAGGAAAACCGACCAGAATTGGTCAATCGTAAAGGTGTTATTTTCCAGCAGAACAATGCTAGGCCGCACACGTCTTTGTCCACTCGGCAA